TAGGAAAATAGAGATATTATTTCCTAGATTGACTGTTAAGATATATTAGGAAAATAGAGATAGTATATTGATTTATGTAAATATGGTAGACTAATATTGTGTGTATATCCTTGATTATTTAGGATCAATTCTTTCCTAATTCATGTAACTTGTACATTGTATAAATTCCCATCTTGCTTGGGGAAATAATCAAGCAACATATTTCACATTAGGATTAAGCTCCTCTAACAGCCTCCTTCATGTATACAATGGGCCAAGCTAAAACTAGGTGTTGGGCTCTAACAGAAGCATTCCTTCCCTATCTACTTCAAGATTGAGCTTAGTTGAGATTGAGCTTAGTTGAGTTGACTTGGTATAGAAGCATTTAAAACATCAACAAGAAAACTATGACAACAAAAATGTGCACAAAAGTTTTTAATTTTTCCTCTTTTTCATTTGGAGTAAGCAAAGTTTTATAGTGCTATGAAAATGAAGGTATAGATAGATAACATAAGAATACCTGAAAGGAAGCATAGTTCCGGAAGAAAAGGATGATCGAGTAACGACATGATTTCCCTTTCAGCGCATGCTCGGTGAACCTAACACCAGAACAAAGATTAAATATTACTCTCTGTACAAAATTGGCACTATGAAGCAATTATTTCTCTTTAAAGTTCTTTGATTTAAAAGTTGAGTTTGATCATACTATATATTCAGACCTTGTTACGATTTTTCAATTGCTTTCATAGCATACAGTTCGCCAGGCTCCTGTAGTTCTACCAGGTGAACGCTGCAACAAATACCATAGAATTTTAAGCAGAGAATAGAAACCTCTAATTTATGTACCACTAACTTAGTAATTAAACAACAGTCTTAGTAATATAGTGGCAGATATAAGAGACAAGATTTCTCCATGCACAAAGTATTACAGGAACCTAGAAACTTACCTTACTATTTTAGGCATAAATAAACGCCTTATCCACACCGTCCAGGATTTTAAACTTAAATCTGGAATGTTGATTCCTTATTTAAGTTTGAAGAAACCAAATTATTTAAACCATACAGAATCCTTTTTTTTTTTTTTTTTTTTCTCTCCTTCACTCTTCACCATAAAGACTCCATTTCAATCCCTGCTAACGAAGCTCATTGAAACTTCTTTTGGGTCTGGATCTCCCCTAAACCCCTTCTACCTTTCTGACCTACTTTCAAATTTTAGTTCACAAAACAATGACACTAGAAGTTATCAATTGAATATAAAAAATTTATACTGAGACTTTGAGGAGGATGTATTTTCAACAGTGTATCATTTGTTGGGTTAATAAAATCGAGGTAACATAATTTGATAATCTCAGGGATACTAAGCATGTGACGGGAAAAAATTGCCTGCCAGTATCACCACACCCTAAGGGTTTTATTGGCTTAAAATGATGTAGACCAATTTTTTCACCACGTCTAGTGATCTATGAAGCTCAAATAGTTTATCCCAAAAGAGAAATAAAAAATATGGAGATATTAATAAAGGAGGAGAGAGCTGTAAAATTTAAAATCTTAAATAGCATCAAATTATATAAATTTAATACAATGGGAGATGAAAGTTTTCTAAGCATAGAATTTTTATATGATTGGAGCCGAACTCTACAAATTGGTACCTTTTGTATTGATATCCAAGAAGGATTGTGCATTTTGTGTGGCCGTGGGAAAACAGGCCGAGAGTGGATCGCCCACAAGTCTTCTGGTCTCTAAAAAATATTATAAATTTCAAGTTGCATGAGCTAAGATGCAATGAAATTGCTCAAAGAATAACTTGGTTTTGGCCTTCAGTAATATATCAGATCATTGTGATAAATAAATAGTGAAGAAATGGCTATGAGAGATTTAATTAATGTTGAAAGACCTATAATAATGAAAATACTTAAAAGCTATCAAAAATCATTTGTAAAAGCAAGAACATATGAACATTTTGCAGGATGTAAAGTCAGCTTATTGTAAACATTAGTAAGGATCTCAAAAACAAGCATATTTGAATGTGGTAAATAATTTTTTTCTGCTTAATTATTGTTGAAAGATCCACATTATGAAAGCATGAGCTAAAATGGCATCTGCTTTTCTTTATATTTAACACTTAATAAATACAAACAGATGATACTTGTGCTCTTTTAAACCATGATAAAGACATGAGCTATCTACTATTAATAACATAGAGCAAAAAGAGTACCTTACCAAGTTGGCGTTAGGAAGTTCTCGAACAGCTTCATCAACATTTTCAGCAGTAGCTTTGACCTAATGAAAAACAAAAACGTTTCATGCATCAGAACCATTCTGTTCTCTCATGATTATTACACTATCCGCATGAAAATGTACAAATCCTTGTATTAATACTTGTTATTTTGGTAGTTGTTCATTATTTTTTATCTCTATGTGCCAGTGTAACAGTAACAGGCATAGCAAAGCTTAGAAAAGTTCCACAGAACAAACAAGGGAGAAGAACTGAACTTCTATTTTAAGCTCTTGTGTTGAAATAGATATATTTCAATTAGAACTGTAGTTTACTTCTACTCCTTTTTAAGACAATCAAAGATTTATGACGAAAATCTTATGTCCTAGACCTCCAAATAAACACATCATTCGAAATAAATGGGTGTTTAAACTCAAACAAAAGGCTGATGGTACCATTGAAATGTACAAAGCAAGGCTTGTAGCCAAACGGTTTGATCAAGAGCATGGAGTGGACTTTCATGAGACTTTCAGTCCAGTTATAAAGCCTGCCACCATTCGATTGGTGCTTGCCTTGGCCGTTCATCATGGCTGGATCATACAGCAACTAGACATTTCCAATGCATTTTTGCATAGACACCTTGAGGAAGAAATCTATATGGAGCAACCTAAAGGGTTTGAACACAGTGACTTCCCATCACATGTTTGCAGACTCCACAAGTCCCTTTATGGCCTAAAACAGACACCAAGGGCTTGGTTCAGGCGCCTCTATCAAAGTCTCCTAGAGCTTAGTTTTACAAGATCAAATGTTGACACCTTCTTATTTTATCTACATCGATCCTCTATTACTATGCTCGTTTTAATTTATGTTGATGATATTTTGGTGGTGAGTAACTCTTCTGATGCAGTAGCTGATCTCCTTCAGCACCTCAGCCGAGACTTTGCAGTCAAAAATCTGGGAGCTCTCTCATTCTTTCTTGGCATTCAAGTCTGCCGCACTGTAGATAATATGCATCTCCATCAAGGCAAATACATCTTGGACCTCCTCCATGAAACAAAAATGATTGGTGCTAAGCCTGTTTCTACACCTTGCACCTCAGGTGGGAAAATGTCTAAGAATGATGGGGAATCACTATCTGATCCAACTGCCTATAGACACATTGTGGGAGCACTTTAGTATTGCACTTTAACTCAACCAAACATTGCTTATAATGAGAACCAATTATGTCAGTTTCTTCACTGTCTAACTTCTGTTCATCTTACAGTAGCTAAGAGGTCCTTCGGTACTTAAAAGGCACTCTTGAACATGTTTTCTACTTCATCAAAGGTTATCTTGCTTTACATGGTCTCTGTGATTCCGATTGGGCTGGAAGCTCAGATGATCGCAAGTCTACTACTGGATATTGCATATTCCTTGGCCCTTGTTTAATTTCTTAGATGGCAAAGAAGCAACCAGTCATTGCTCGCTCAAGCACTGAGGTGGAATATAGGTCCATGGCTCTCACAGTCACGGAACTCTACTGGATCCGCATGCTATTCCGAGAGCTTGGCTTTCCTTTACACTCTCCTCCATGCCTATGGGTTGATAATATTGGTGCACTCTCCCTATCCTCTAATCCTGTCTTTCATTCTAGAATAAAACATATAGAGGTCGATTATCACTTTATATAGGAGGAAATATTCAACCGGGACATCCTTGCAAGATACATCTCTACTGCATCACAGCCATCCGATATCTTCTCCAAAGGTTTATCCACTACCAGGTTTTGCATGCTCCGAGACAAGCTCATGGTTCGTCCACTCACCATCAGCTTGCAGGGGGCAGTTAACCATATAGATTCTATTCCGAGTCAGATAACTGAAGAGGAAGATTGCATCTCATCTGAATTAGCTAAGAGATAACATTTATCTTTCTGTTACATGTAGTCTTATCTTTCTATATATTTGAAATTCATTCAAACGTGTAAAGCTCTATATATTCAATAAGATCTTCTCATTTGGTATCAATTGAACCAGACTTTCAATATCTTAAACTGGCTTAAAATGATGTATACCAATTTTTTCTCCACATCTAGTGATCTATGAAGCTCAAATAGTTTATCCCCAAAAGAGAAAAAAAAAAAAAAAATGGAGATATTAATAAAGGAGGAGGGAGCTGTAAAATTTGAAATCTCAAATAGCATCAAATCATATAAATTTAATACAATGGGAGATGAAAGTTTTTTAAGCATAGAATTTTTATATGATGAGAGCCAAACTCTACAAATTGGTACCTTTTGTATTTCTATCCAAGAAGGATTGTGCTTTTTGTGTGGCCGTGGGAAAACAGGCCGAGAGTGGATCACCCACAAGTCTTCTGGTCTTTGAAAAATATTATAAATTTCAAGTTGCATGGGCTAAGATGCAATGAAATTGCTCAAAGAACAGCTTGGTTTTGGCCTTCAGTAATATATCAAATCATTGTGATAAATAAATAGTGAAGAAATGGTTATGAGAGATTTAATTAATGTTGAAAGACCTATAATAATGAAAATACTTATAAGCTATCAAAAATCATTTGTAAAAGCAAGAACATATGAACTTTTTGCAGGATGTAAAGTCAGCTTATTGTAAACATTAGTAAGGATCTCAGAAACAAGCATATTTGAATGTGGTAAATATTTTGTATTGTCGGTATAGTCCGAAAACCATGGTATGTGAAATTTGTATTGTCGTTGTTTGTTGATTTCAATAGCTTAATAGAGGATTGATCCATTGAATTCCGTTTCTTTAGATCTACCGCGTTTATTCATTTTTATTAAATAACTTCTTTGGAGTTCTTCGTTTACTGAAATATTACATTAGATTTGGGGGGTTTGGTTCTACTGATGCATTGTTCTCGAACTGATTTTTATATTTAGGTGATATATTGTCACCGTTAGATCTGACTTCGTAATAGCATTATTAGATGAATGTTTGAGTTAATGTTTGGGATTATGATGGATTGGTTACTCTCTGAACGTACAAGTTTGCTCATTTCAGTGATATGCATTGTCAAGTTCGTTAATTATATATGTATCAACCTAGCTAAGATCTTGAATTAGAGATCATTAAAGCGTATCACGTAGAATAACAGTTTTATGAATTTCAATTGGTCTTCAACCGACAAAGCTCAATTTATTACAAAGTTCTGAGACCTGCCCATGTGGGTTATTCATTCTTGAATTACCTTGTTTTTAAACAGTAAGTCAGGAAGATGACTTATAACGACCAGATAAACCTCTAGTGGTCACATTTATTAGGGGTCGAAGTGAATCAAACTTAGGACATCTTAAGTAATATACCCAAAAATTCTAGTTGATTATTCAGTCATCTAGTGGTAGTTTGTAAGATCTTACATTAAACGCACATAAAATTCTCAAATTAAAATTTCTTCTTGTGAGGCAAAAGTTTAATTAGATTGATTTGAGTTTTGTGCAAAAACTTAATTTGTTCATTTGAGTGGTAAATGAGGCATTAGAACTCGTGGAGACCATATGGACGGACCTAAGAAGGGGCGAGTGGGGGCTGACAACCCTACTCAATTTTTTATTTATTGATTTCCTTTATATTTGTCTTTTTTTCTTTTTTCTAAATTGATATAATATAAGAAGATGAGTATATTATTAATTAACTATATTGTATATGTATTTTATCATTTAGAAGTCAACTAAAAGGTAAAACTTAGAAATAATATTTCTTGCCCTCTCTAATATTATTTTTATGACAAATTTTGTATTATTTATTTTAAATTTGTCCACTCTAATATTAATCCTAAATCCATCCCTGTTAATGAACTCTATATATAATACAAGTGGTATTAGTTAATGACTTTTTCCAATCCAAATAATGGTTTAATGACACTTTTCCACACAGAAACTTTTAAAATGTCACTTTATTACTCACATTTATATTTATATAGTGAACATAGAACAAACTTGGTCCAGGTTATTGGGGCTTTTGAAAAGAGAAGGCCAATGAGTCTTTTGATAGTTGAAATTGATCATAATTTGACTTGAGAAGGGTGGCTGTGCAAACCCTAATCTCTCGATTGTCAATGATTGGCGAGATCGACGAGAATATGGTTTGCAGGGTTTTAGTAAGCGATGATTGGAGAAGAAAATTGTGGTGGTAACGGGTAGCAACGATGCCGGAATCAGCAACCGAATATAAATTTAGATAGTAAAATGATATTTTAAAAGTATATGGGTGGAAAAGTATCATTTATGATTTAACCATTATTTGGATGGAAAAAAGCCATTGACTCCAAGAGGTCTGCTGATGATGATCTCATATTCAATCACTCATGGTTTTTATTAATGTTTTTTTTTTTTTAATTATATATATAATATATGGAAAGGCTTGCTGAAGGGTAGGGGTGAGCACGGGTAGCGGGTAGAACCGGAACCGGGGGATAGAACCGGAACCTACCCAGAACCGATATTGTGCGGTTAGGTTCTGGTTCCAATTTTTTGGAACCGATACTGTGCGGTTCCGGTTTCGATTCTTGTGTGTGGAGGAATCGGAACCAGAACCTGTAAAAAGGGTATCCTGTTTGGAACCTGTAGGGGGTATCCGGTTTGAAACCGATTTTTGGAACCTGTTTGGAACCTGTTTTGGAACTTATTTGGAACCTGTTTTGGAACCTATTTTGGAACTTGTTTTGGAACCTGTTTGGAACTTGTTTTGGAACCTGGACTACAATGAAATATTTGTGAAATGTGAATAATAGATGGTTTTTATTATTTTACATATAAAAAAATTTAAAATAGAAAAAGTTAAATTTTTAAAATAACCTAATTAAATAAATATACGAATACAATTATACTTATTACATATAAATTGCACCATATTAAAAGCTTTAATATATTATAATACATTAATATTAAAGTTTTGATTTACATTCATGGTAAACATTAAGACTCTAGCTACCTCTAATAGGTGCCTATTCTTTCTTTCAGCTATCCCATTTTGTTGAGGGGTATTAACACAAGAGCTTTGATGTACAAACCCGTGATGTAACAGGTAGTTTCCTAGGATAGAGTGAAAATATTCCTTACATTATCAGTCCATAAAACTTGGATTTTTTCTCGAAACCGAGTTTAAACCATTGAATGAAAGTTTTTGAACAATTGACTTGCTTCAAACTTGTTTTTCATCAAGTATACCCAACATACTCTAGTCTGATCATCAATAAACGTAATGAACCAC